TAATGCTTGCTAATTTAACAAAATAATGCTAGATAAAAGGATTTGTGTTTGGATAGTTATTTATAATCCTTCTATTATAACAAAATCATGCACAATGAAAACATATAGGTCTCTCTTGAACAAGAAAATTTTTCTTGTGCTCTCAATATTTTTCATCACTGATCAAAATAAATATCGAAATGAAGATTTGTACATAGTTGTCATTCTTATGCTTATTTTATTTTTTTAGGATTAGAACTTTATTACTTCTTTTTTTTTTGACAAGGGAACCTATAGTTGCTACTTGAGAGTGCATACTGAATAAATCCTATCCCGTGCAGTAGCCCATCAATCACATAGAGGGGTAAGACACACTAGACAATCTCTGTGCGACGAACGGATATCCCAGGAGAGGTTCGAATCTAAGTTGGTAGAAAGACATGACACCAACTCTACCATCTTGACTAACTCAAGAGACTTATTATTATTTTTAGTTGCTTCTACCATTTATGCAATTACTTCAATAGATATAAAGCCATACTGCATGTTTAAATAATTTATGCCTAGTTGGGCATGCATGCACGCGGTTTATTCCTCCTAGTTCTCTCTCACACGAGCAAAGCCAATCCCAAAAAACAAGAACTACAGATAGCCCAATCAAACATTCTTAAACAAGACTACTTTAAATTTGAAATGGGAGGTTATTTCAGTTTGTTTGGATAGGAGGTTATTTAAAATATTTATTTGAAATTTGTGATGTAAGGTATATGAGATAAAAAAGAGCGAATTTCTCAGACTAATGCGAAAAAGAGAAAACATCACAAAAGTGATGCTGCTGTGGGCTCACTTCTAGATTAAGGGTCGCCGCAAATGTCAGGAGAGACTTCGTAGAAAAGTTGATTTAAATTTCTTTTTTTTTTAAAGCTGGAACCAATTTTTTTTCGTTTTCACAAAAGTTTCGCCGCAAATGGTGAATGAGGCTGAGAAAAAAAATATTTTTTTGAATTGCTGCAAATTACACAATTTGCGGTGAAGCATGAAAAAAAATATTTAAAATTTTTTTTGAGAAATCGCAAATTGCATTTGCGGCAAAGGAGAAATCGCCATTTGTGTCCATTTGTATCTTATCATCAGTTTTAGTTTTCCCATGCTCTAGTTGCATTCAACATGAAGATAATTATATAAATATTCATGTGTTACTTCACATGATGTTGTTCATGATATGCTAAATTTAAGTAGAAGCGTCTGAGTCCTCTGCTAGTTGGAATTATCACTTTTTGCTAGAGTTAGATCATTTTATACGAGACAAAGTGGTGGCATCTAGCCTTATAATAAAGGATTTTGCAGCTGATGGTCTATCATAACACCATAATTGTTGACCTCATACAGTTGCAAAACCTCTGTAATATGTATCTTGATCCCGTTAATCCCGTTAATCTTGCACAGTGTGCTCATCCTGGATTGACAGTGATATGAGAAAAGGCTTTCAGGACATTATAATACTTGAATCAAGGAATGCGACTAGCAGCTGGCCCATTTGACCATCAAGATGTTGGCACATCTACCACTCGTACTGTCTCTTTCGAGATGCCTGTCGAACATTTAGCCAAGTAGATGCATGATAAAAAACAAGACGGTAGGCATTGCAGAGGGCACCTCCACCCATGTTGTTCATGTATTCAACATATTTAATTTTCAATATGTCTTGCCCGACATTAAAACAAAAAAATTCAAAAATGGATGATTTGGGCATATTCTTTTCAATTCATTTTATATTTTCAACCAAAAGGAAGTTGAAAGAATTTTTATAGGATGATTAATCATCATTTATGAAATTAGCACAATTTTGTAGTTAAATTAAATTTGCAGCTTTCAGGCTTAGGATTTACGTATTAGGATTTTATTGTGAGGGTTTAGGGATTAGTGTTTTAGGTTGGGGTTTGCTAGCAAAATCATCGTAATTCCATTTTAAAAAAAAAAAAAATTTAAAGTTTGCAGCTCATTTGAGGTGTAGTGAATCCTTTAAAAAAACTTTTTTGCTTCGCCTCCCTTTTGAGGTGGAGCAAACCCTTGTAAAATATGAAAAAAAATCCAGTCCTTTTACTTCCTTGGCGGCGAAAAAAATGAAATTGAATTCAATTTCTTTTAAACCTACTTTTTCATTCCCGGCGACCCTTGAAAACAACACCAACCCCAATAGGAGAAAATTGGAACTAATGCTAAGCAGTAAGATGTAGACGCCACGCGATTAGATGTGCCAAACAGTAAGATATGAATGGTCACGATCTTTTGTCCCACATCGGCTTCTTAAAAAATTGTGGGATCATCATGCACGTTTCGCCTGCCTCAAAATTTTTAGAAACAAAAATTTTTATCCTCCCCCAAATTACATTTGCAGTTTCTGAAATTTTTTTTTTTAAAATTTCATTTACATTTGCAGCAATTCAAAAAAAATAATTTTTTTTGCAGCCTCATTCGCCATTTGCGGCGAAACTTTTGTGAAAACGAAAAAAAATCGGTTCCGACTTTAGAAAAAAAGAAATTTAAATCAAATTTTTTATTAAACCTCATATGATATTTGCGACGACCCTTAATCTAAATGCCAACCCCCAACAACATCACTATTGTGATGTTTTCTTGTTTTCGCATTATTTTGAGAAATTACGCATAAAAAAGTGGTTGAAAATTGTGTGTATGATGTAAACAAAACAAAATTTGAAATTTTTTTTTAAAATTCTTGATATCCAAACACACCAAATTTGTTTTGAATTATATTATGATCCATTATTCTTTTCACTCAAGAAATAATGGATCCTAATATAACTATTAAGGTGGCGTTTGGTTCGCATGTTGGAATCGAATTCGGATTCGGAATCATTCATCCTGGATTTGGAATGGAATCAATCATTACAATACATTTGTTTGGTTCAGTGCCAAGAATGTATATCATTACTATAGTTGATATTTGGTACGTTGGCTCTTTGTAAATGGGATATAAGAAATTTTCACTAATTAAATATATTAGTATAAATATATTAGTAAATTTAGTATAACTAATTAATATTTTCTATTAGTAAACATGTATAATTATTAGTATAATTGATAATATCAATTATATTACATAGATTAATATACATTATATAATACATATAACTAATAATATCATTATTATAAGTTTGTAACTAATTAAATTAAATATTATATATATAATTAAATATAATTATACAAATGTTATAATATAAATATATAATTATAATTATATAATATATATAAATATTAATTATACTAATATTTTATATAAATATAATGTATATTACATATTAAATATAGTTATTATTATATATAAAATAATAATTACAATTATAATTATATAATTTATTAATATTATATACATGTTTATATTATAATTATATGCACATATAGTATACATTTATAAATATACATATATATTATAAATATATTATAATATAATATTAATAAATTTATAATATATAGTATATAAATATAATTATATTTAACTAAATAATTATAATATAGATTTATATAATATAATAATATCATTATTATAAGTTTGTAACTAATTAAATTAAATATTATTTATAATTAAATATAATTATACAAATGTTATAATATAAATATAAATATATAATTATTTAATATATAAATATTAATTATACTAATATTTTATATAAATATAATGTATATTACATATTAAATATAGTTATTATTATATATTATTATATTTAAAATAATAAATATTAATATTAATATATAATTTAATAATATTATATACATGTATATATTATAATTATATGAACATTTAATATACATTTATAAATATACATATATATTATAAATATATTATTATATAATATTAATAAATTTATAATATATGTTATATAAATATAATTATATTTAACTAAATAATTATAATATATATTTATATAATATACTAATATTATAATTATAATATATTATATATATGTATATATTACAATATAAATATAAATATAATTATATAATTATACTAATATATATATTAATTATACTAATATTATATAATTATAAGATTTGGGAATCAGACTTGGGTTTTGGACAAAACTTACCAAGTTACTAAGGACTGGAGGAATGCTAAATTTTTAGACATCATTCCAAAATTTTAATTCCGATAGTAGTGAACTAAACATGAATCATGGGATTTATTCCATAATTTCATTCCGAAACCCTTTTACCAAACGCCCCCTAATAGTTTAGTCAACAATGCTACTTCCATAGGCAATGAAACTTAGAGCTCCTAATATGTACTGGCCAGCACTGAGGTACATGTCCTGCTAAAACATGAATGACTTGGATTATGTAACTTATGTTTGATTTGCATATTATTTACCTCCTGAACCTATAATACATTATGAACTTTGAGCAAATTATCCTCATTATTACAGTAGACCCAAAAAACAAAAGAGTTAAATAGATAATAAAAAATTTTTTGACCCACAATTTAGTTACTGATATTAGTGGACAAGCTGGTGCGTAGCACAGTCAAACCCAAGCAAGTACTGATAAAAGAAGAAATGCATATAAGAATGGAAAAGCAAACCCTCACATATACTGATAAGGCAACTGTCTAATAATTCAAACAAAGTTACCTAGCTATTATACTAATGCCCTCTGCACTACTGCAGGGGATTAGTTTGACGTAAGTCAGGATACTCCTATATTAGAAAAAAAAAAATCATACTAATGCCCCTATTTGACAGAAAAGGTACAAAAAACAGAACCGATGGGGTAACGGTAACATATCACAAGCAAGATAGTACCACCGTTCTTACCACACATTTAAAATTCCTAAGCAAGGAAAAAAAAAACATAATATAAATAAAACTGCTATTCATCAATGCTACAAACGGCCAAAAAACTTTCATTCACAACTTTTTCTCACATATAGACGCAAACAGCAGTATTTCCAATAAAACAAACACTTATAATAAAATAAAATCTAAATAAAACAAACCCAGCCATAATCTCCTTACATTAAAAAAAAAAATCAGAACATTACAGTCGAAATAAAAACTCCACTATTATCATAACACTAAAATCCTCAAACAAATTACTCTATCGGCAAAACAATTACAAGCATAAAATCCTCTACTCAATCCAAAATCGAGACAGTGTTCAACACGACAATCAGTGGAAGCCACCACGTGAATGTTAGCCTCCTAAGCACCACGAGTAGAGAACACCAAGTGAAGAGTAGACTTGTGAGGAATTTCATAGTCTTCAATAGTGCGACCATCCTCAAGATGCGTACCAGCAAAAACCAACCTTTGCTCGTTCGGTGGGATTCCTTCCCTAGACAGAATTTCTTCCTTCACGTTCTCGATGGTAGCAGAACCCTCCAACACCAGAGTAATGGTATTCCCTCTCAAAGTTTCCACAGATATTTCCATTCTTCCCCTCCACCTCATCACCAACTGAAGGGTTGACTCCTCCTGGATGTAATAATCTGCAAGAGTCCGACCATCCTCAAGCTGTTTACCAGCCAAAATCAACCTCTGGTCAGCCAGTGGGATCCCTTCCTTATCTTGAATTTTCGCCATGACATTGTCGATGGTATCAGAACTCTCCACCTCCAGAGCTATGGTCTTTCCAGTAGGAGTTTTCACGAAAATTTGCATTCCACCGCCAAGCCTGAGCACCAAATGAGGGATAGACTCCTTTTGAATATTATAATCGGCAAAAACATTGTCTGGGGGAACACCCTCCTTGTCTTGAATCTTAGCCTTGACATTGTCAATAGTATCAGAGCTTTCAACCTCAAGACTGATTGGCTTACTAGTGTCAGTGCTCTCAGCTTTCGCGGAGATCTTCATCTGTTAGGGGGAAAAAATGAAACAAAAAAAAAAAAGCCAAAGCCGATCAGATCTAATCAAATTCAAATCTTTAAACCCAAAATTGCCAGCACAAATACCAAAAGATAAATAATCGGAATTGCTAGCCAAACAAAAAACTGTAATCCCTCAACCTCGATCAATGTTAACCATTAGATAATGCTAAGCTGTGACCATATACCAGCTAATTGAATGTATAATAGTCAGTCACATTTAGCAGCAGCTAATTGATTGTAATAAGTAGATAGTTAGTTGGTTATGATAGTAGTTAATTACTTAGCATCGCTGAGGTGGCAAGGTGGTTAAAGGCGGTTACTTCTTAATTCATTGATAAAATAAGTAACAGCAAGGGAAGGCAATTAAGAAAGCTAGTGAAAAAGAAACATCACTTATCAATATAGTACAATTCCTTTATTATTGTAACCTTTCCTATAACTCTCCTTGATTATCAATATAGTACAATTCCTCCTCCCTATTCCTCGACGGACATTCTCCGTTAACTGGAATTGGGAATTGGGATCTTCACTACCTTTGCATCACAAAACAATTTAGATTGTCAAAGAAGGAAAGATTACCTTTTGATGGCAGAATTTGAGAGAAGATTGATGAAGAAGAAGATGGGTAGATTAACGAGTGAGAAGTGAAGCTGAGAGACGCCCCTATGGATATGCTAGTATATTAAAAAGAGGCTAAAGAGGTACTGTTGTCAGCACTGTTGATTGTCAGAGTGTTAATTTCGTCCCCTTTTCATTACGCAGAACCAACACGCAACGCGGTGGTATGTGCAATGGAAACTACTCCGGCGTTGCTTGTGCGGTGGGTGGAAAGTGGGATGAACTTCCTACCGATGAAGAAACACAAATGAAGCATTTCCATTCATGTACACCTTCAACGATCACAGCCCTTAAATCAGTGGTTTTGAACTTTTAGCAAAACAACAATGGAAACTTCGGTTTGCTTCTAAGGTGGAAAGTGGGATGAACTTCCCACCGTAGGCAGAAAGCCAATTAGAAGTACAGTTAACTTCGGTTGCTTCTACGGTGGGGTGGAAAGTGGGATGAACTTCCCACGAATGTAGCACACAAATGAAGCATATCCATTCATTTACACCTTCAACGATCACAGCCCTTAAATCAGTGGTTTTGAACTTTTAGCAAAACAACAATGGAAACTTCAGGGTTAGTTCTAAGGTGGAAAGTGGGATGAACTTCCCACAGTCGGCAGAAAGCCTCTTAGAAGTACAGTTGCTTCTTCGATGGAAAGTGGCATGAACTTCCACTTTTTTTCCAAAAAAAAGTCCCAGTTGTGTCGAACTTTCTATTTTTGGAATGGAATATTTACGAAATCTCCATGAATAGGATCAACCCCTACTCCATGGGATTTACATAAGGTTCCTCTTTAAATTAAAAAACTCCTGATAGGGTTTAATTGATCCATGATTTATGTTTTATCTTTCGATTGGAAACTAGGAATAGACGGACTTTCTATAGGACCTATTTTACTAATGGGATTCATCACCACTTTAACGACTTTAGCAACTTGGCCATTTACAGGATTCTCGATGATTTAATTTCCTAATGTTAGCGATGTACAGCGCTCAAATAGGATTATTTTCTTCTCGGAACCTTTTACTTTTTTTTCATCATGTGGGAGTTAGAATTAATTCCTGTTTATCTACTTCTATCTATGTGGGATGGAAAGTGGGATGAACTTCCTCTTTTTTTCTAGACATGATAGACCTACTCTTACTCTATATTAAGGGAATGGGAAACCTAAAGAGATCTAAGAAAAATTCGGAAAGAACTGAATCACCACTCATTCATCTAAATCTCAAATAAAATTTTAAAACTCTTTTAGTAGCTAACTACTCTAGGAGTAGTTGGTTGGGATAAACTTCCCACTGTAGGCAGAAAGCCTTTTAGAAGTAAAACTCAGCACGAGCATTTGTGTCCATATTTTTGCGGCCCAATTGAGAGAAGGTAACTGGCAAAGGCTGTTACCATCTTAAGGAGCTTAGCAAATACCTATATGAATTGGATTGGGTCGTTAAATGAATAAAGAATGTCCCAAATAGGGCAATGGGTAAAAGTCATTATTAATTTGAAGCCAGAATTTTTAGGTTGGGAAAAAAACTTGTAAGTAATAAACTTGTTATTCGATGAGTATCATTTATAGAATTATATAGTTGTAGTGTATTTCCTTTTTGTTTCTACTTTTTTCTTGATTATCTAGTCTTAAATTAAGTTTCTTTATCAACAAGGTCATCCTTAATGATGATTTTGTTGAAACAATGATAGCAATAAATTATATTAAACAGAATGAGGAAGTTTTGTATTAAATAAGAATTAATCTTTGCACTCTAGTTTCGAGCGCTTTAGACAAGATGACAAAAGCAAGTTTTTCCATTAGTCAGCTTGTTTTTTCTTGGATTTCCATTGATGATGAGCCATCATCATCATCATCATCTTCTCTTTTAAACTTGATGGTTGTTTTGCAGTTGCACTGATCTTTGCCATAGGCATCAAGGAGAATGATGTTAGAGGAGAATTTGTCACTATTATGTGTTTGAAGGAAGAAAACTGGAGGTGGGATTTTGTGAGAATTAAGAAAAGTTGGAATCGGTTGGGAGGATAGAGTAAGTTTAGTTTGAGCAAGAAAAAGGTTGGGTTTGCTGCTATTGTTGTGCCACCATAGGATGAAATTAAAGTTAGTTGTTCTTGTAGTTTTGAGGGGTTTTAGGCAAAAAGACAAGGGAAGAGGTTGATGAACGAAGAGTTTCAACTATAAAGCTGTACAATACTTGACCATAGTGGAATAGATGTGCTCTATTGAACTATTTGGCTTGGATTAGATTGGACCGTACTCTTACTGGATCTAATCAAGATTGATTCTTTGTTTCAAAAAGAAAAAGAAATTAAATCAGTGTGATGCTTGATTAGATATTCGACTCAATCAGCAACTTGATTCATCATGTTTCAAAAAGGCAGAGATAGGCTTACAAGGGTCGTCCGATTACATACTGTACATCATTGTACTCCCTGGTAAGCTTCTTCTTTTTTTTTCCGGAAATGATAGAAGTTTTTATTTCTACAAATAGAGAAATTACACTATTCGAGCAAAGGCTCAAGTTTTTCTTTACAAAAGTGTACTGAGACACTGAGGATCGAAGAATTCCTCATCAAAATGTAAATGCATTGCCTGCTTACTCAGTTTATGACTGAGACAATTAATGCTATGATTAGCGGACTGAAAATCAAATGAGCATATCGTAAACATTAAGCTAAGATCTGTTATGTATTGTATGTGGGCTGCTAGTAGCATGTTACAAGAAACTTGACCGTTGAGAAGCTTGTAAACCTGAAGGCTTGGTGTCTGAAGTTTGATACTGAAGCAGCCACGTTCCATAAGCTTGCACAGTGCTAACCGTATGGCCACAAGGTTGTCTAGTATTGGTGATCCGGTGCTTCTTTCTTTCATCAGCCACACTGCACTTAGTTGATGCAATCTGTTTTCTGCTGTAATGCCGATTCCCATGTTCAAACCCTCGAGATGCTGTCCCACATGTACACTAATGGTCAGTGTGTTTGTATCTTCGACCACCCTCTGCTCTTGTACATCCGCTATATCTGTTTCTGAGATGCTCACTTGCTGTTCAGGCTGTTGAGATTTCAAATATTCCTCCCATTCCATAACTACCTTTGTAATCACTTTCATTGGATGTCTCTCTTTGTCTTCGAACTCTACTGTATTCCTGGCTTTCCAAATTTGCCAAAGAATGTCCACTGTCAATGCTATATGTTCCCTTCCTTCCTTCCTATCTGTGACTTCCATTAGTGTACTCCACCATTTCCTGAAGTCGCTTGTAAACTACTGCAGACCATCCCATTGCAATGGAGCCATCTTCCAGATCATCCTTGCAGTCCTGCAGTGGAAGAAAATGTGCTCCACTGTCTCACTGTTCTCACCACATTGCTTACACATTAGGTCTCCCTTTCCCGTTCTCCGAAAGATTGCCTCTCGACCTGGTAGCACTTGATGCAGGCACTTCCATAAAAATACCTTGTGTTTGTGCTTTACTGGAAGACCCCATAGCTGTTTCCAGATTTTGCCATTTCCCCCTGACCAGCTTGTTTCCCCCTTGCCGTTCAATTGCACTATAGGCTGCGTGGTAAGACTTGTGAGTGCTGCATATGCCGAGCTGACTGTGTAGTTTTCTTTTTTGGTATGAGACCAAAAGTAGCAATCTAGTCTCCCTGTCAAGCTTATAGGTGTTCTGAGTATATGAGCAGCTTCGTGTGAACTAAAGAGCCTGAAGATGAGAGTTGATTTCCACCTAAAGTTGGCTATCAATTCACTAACTGTTGTGATATTGCAACCAAGGGGTTTTGAAGATTCAATCTTACCGTCCTTTCCTTCCAACAACCAAGCATCTTCCCAAATTCTGGTGTTGTTCCCATTTCCAATCTGTTTCCTAGCTCCGCATTGCACCACCTCTCTTGCGGACATCAAACTTTTCCATATCCATGATGCATTACCTTTGATTTCGTAGTTGAAGAGGGTTGTTTTGGGGTAGTACCTTGCTTTCAAAACTTTGCTAAGCAAAAGGTTGGGGCATGTGAGGAGCCTCCAAATCTGTTTGCCTAGCAAAGCTTTATTAAAGCTTTGAAGATCTTTGAAGCCAAGACCACCAGCTTGTTTTCCAGTTGACAATGTCTTCCATGAAACCCAATGCACTTTCGTTTGACCGTTCTCCTGCCCCCACCAAAATCTTGCCATCAAAGAGTTGATGTCTTTGCATAACCTCACGGGCAGCTTAAAACATGACATGGCATAAGTTGGCATCGCCATAATAACAGCCTTCAGCAACACCTCTTTCCCTGCTTGGCTAAGCTGTGTATTTCTCCAGTTGAGGATTGATTTTTGGCATCTGTCTTTAATAAATCCAAAGATTTGCATTTTGGTTCTTGTGATTACCATTGGCAAACCCAAATACTTCCCCTGTTTCACCACTTTAACCTGTTGTAGACTGCTGCAAATTTCTTCTTGTACTTGTTTCGCCACATTTTTGCTGAAGAAAACTGAAGATTTTTCCATGTTGATCATCTGTCCGGATCCTTTTTCATATGTTTGCAGAATTTTCATCACTTCTTGAGCTTGCTTCTTATCGGCTTTGCAAAAAACTAACGAGTCATCGGCAAAGAAGAGGTGAGTTAGTGAAGGTCCGGTTCTACTAATCTGCATTCCAGTCAATTTTTGCTTCTTTGTGCCTAAGCCAGCAAGTTGAAAAAACCTTCGGATACTAGTAGAAACAAGTAAGGCGACAATGGGTCTCCTTGTCTAATCCCTCTTGACGGTATCATATATCCTTTAAGCTCACCATTTATGTTGAAGGAAAAAGAAACTGTTGAGATGCATTCCATTATCCAGTTTATCCAGGTATCACAAAAACCCATTTTAACCATGATTGCCTTCAGATATCCCCACTCAACCCTGTCATAAGCTTTAGACATGTCTAACTTTAGAGCCATAAACCCATTAGATCCTTCACTTTTGTTTTTTAAGTAGTGCAAGTACTCATGAGAGATAATAACATTGTCCAAAATCTGTCTTCCAGGTATAAAAGCAGCTTGGTTTTTGCTAATGCAGTTTCCCAAAAGTTTTTTCAATCTGTTTGCTAGGATTTTGGAAATGGTTTTATAGAGTACATTACAAAGGCTTATAGGCCTAAACTGCTTAACCTCAGTGGGATTATCGACTTTGGGAATGAGTGATGTGGTTGTGTGATTCAAAGCCTTTAACATATAACCCGAATGAAAGAAACTTTTGATTGCT